AGAAGTAATGGAAGAGTGCTGTCAGACTTTTCAGATAAATTGAAACTTCTGCCACCTGCCTTGTCTTCGTTGATCGTTATTGTTAATCTTTGTACCTCTTGAATATTTTTATAATCAACATTATGAGCGTACAAGTCTCCTTCAGGGTTTGTTGGAGGTTTAATCTTGTGTTTGTAGATTTTAAATTCATTTGTGTTTTTCTTCATATGATTTGACATTGATCTCACATTGCCATATCATTCTTAAACTTTGAGTACATATTGTTGCCGTTACTTAATGCATTTAAGCTTCTTGGATCAAAAAGAATACTTATTATACATGTATGAACTAATCATATACTGTTGAGATACAGATGAATGTACCCTATTCTCATTTTTCTGTTTATTTATCATTTAGAAAACTTAAGACCTGAAAATAATAATTTCTAAAATATGATAATGTCTAATCAATATCTCATCTAGTCATCTAGGCGACTCTTGAATTGTGAAACTGAACGTTGAAAGCTAGTACACAATACATTATCTAACCATTGTGTTATTTGGTCATTTAATCAAAATGTGTGCATCTGGTCATCAGGTGGTTGTTGAGTTGTTAAACATAATACATGAAAATAGTAGCTTCTCCAGTTAATGCTATATTATCTAATCAATGTCTTATTTGGCCATTTAGTCAAGATATGCGCACCTAGTCATCTAGGCGGAAGTCAAGTTTTGTTGTAATTGAAAGAAAATTGTTCAAACTCTGATGACTTTCTATGTTCGTCCTTTTGGTTTTTGGTTTTTAGTTTATCGTCCCTTTTTACCACTGTAAGGCCGTGTAAGAGAAGGGCGACTTCGACCCTGCCTTTTTAACACTGTAAGGCCGTGTAAGAGAAGGGCGACTTCGACCCTCCCTTTTTAACACTGTAAGGCCGTGTAAGAGAAGGGCGACTTCGACCCTGCCTGTCTGGGCCAACCCGGGCTGAGCGGGACGAATCTCTTCAGAAAGACGCATGTAAGGCGAAGCACCTAACCATTACACCGCAGTCACCGCTATGTTCGTCTTTTGTTCATTTGCTTGATAAATGATTTGAAAAGAGAGGTTCGCTGACACGATTCTCTACTACTACTATTCACCCAAAGCTAGTAACAGGGTAATTGTACTTTAAGGGTGCCAATGGATGGTTATTGTAATAGATATTAGTTGTGAAGCCACACAAGTTAAAAAATGTTGAGCTTCTGAAGAATTATAAAGAATGTCTGAGAGATATCTACGTTTGTTTAACTGTCTCAAACCATTTATACTATTATTATTCCATTTGCACCTTGAAAATACAGCCCATTGGTACTAAGTTTGGCTAACACATTTCTATTACATGTTCTTGGAGTTGCAGACATATTGTAGTATGTTACAATGAATTGATAACAGGTTCTCTCTTTATTCCAACAATATTTCGTCAAGAATCATTGTCGTATGTCGACTTACAACAGGGTTCAATTGCGTCATTATTGTCGTAAGTCGCCTTGATACTTTGTACTTGACGAAAATTTTAAGTAACAAAGTCGTATGTCGTACAACAGTGAATGTAGCTGATGTATTTAAAATTTGATTCGATTTCTGAAATCAGCGCGGAAAATAACGTAATTCTATGTTACAATATTTATCTTATCGAGAACTTGTTCGAAATAAAACAGTTTTTTGCTTCTCCTGAAAACCTCGCATTTTGACATACGACAATGATGAATGCCGGCGACGATATATAAATTGCAAGTTGACGATAAATACCTAGCGTTTCAGCCATTTCTGTTTCTGTTCCACTTCTGATAAACGTGAGACGTGAGATTCCGATGGAGGAATTCTTCAAACAGTTCCATCCAGGGGGGGCTCCAGTAGACGAGTGTGCTTAATGAGCTCAGACTCACAACTACAACGGCATATATATCGGTGTGGGTGACATGTCGCTTATATAACATAGGGGGGGGGGGGGAGGGGGGAGTCGCTCGTGTGTATGTGTGTGTGTGTGTATGTGTGTGTGTGTGTGTGTGTGTGTGTGTGTGTGTGTGTGTGTGTGTGTGTCTGTGTGTGTGTGTGTCTTTATGTGTGTGTGTGCGAGTGTGTGTGTATGTGTGTGTGTACGTGTGTGTGTGTGTGTGCGTGTCTTTGAGCAAGACACAATAATCCTCACTGGAAACAGAGCGCTGCATTTTGGCCGCCACCACTGAAGTCTGGGTCCTTTATGGTTGTGAGTTTGTGAGATTTATGAATTTATGTATTCGTTCCTTTTTGTGTCACGTGCACTATTGTAAAAAAAAAAAAACACGAAAAAATTTCCCAGAGGATCATATAATATATATACATGAAACCAACCTCACGTCGTCGCTCAGTGACGCCCTTCGCGCGCCCACGGGGAGATCTGGTTAAGTGGCGAGGGAAACCCCGCACGATGCCAAAAACAGATGGCTGAAATACGAATTCATTATATCTCGCTCATGCACGAGGAAGGCTAAGTGCTCCTCGCACTTCCGCCCTGCTATCTACACCCGGTACTTTTTTAATACGTATGGTAGAATAGCTACTTCATTACCCTCGGATTTTTTCTTTGTGGGGGCGGGG